AAAAAAAAAAAAAAAAAGGGCCGGGGATTTAGCTTAATGGGACCACCCTGCCTGGCAAGCACAAGGTCCCGAGTTTAATCCCTGGCACCAAAAGGAAAAAAAAAAGAATTTGGGATTGGGCATTTGAGAAATAAATGTGAGAGTGAGTCTCACAAGTGCCCAATGAGGCAGGCAAAGATTTCTAAATTAAAACCAAAATGTGTTTTCTCCTCCAAAGATCCCAATCTTAGTTGAAATGAGTGGCCACTTAATTAGCTTGAACAAGCCAGATCAATGAACTTGCATGCTTATATTGCTCCTTGGAGTATTCTATGAAAAGTTAAGTCACATTTCTTCTTTCAAAGGCTGTAACTGAAATACCCTGTGGGTGAACAAAAGAAGAAATTCTGATGACACCTGTGTGGTCCTTTACAGCACAGAGCTGAGTCTGTCAGATCCACCAAACAGTCATACTTGACAATTTACCAAGAGCTGCAGCAAATTATTCCAATAAAAATGTTCCCTTACTGCCAGGTATGGTGGTGCACTCCTGTAATCCCAGCACTTTGGAGGCTGAGGCCAGCCTGGGCTACATAGTGAGTTTGAGGCCAGCCTGGACTATGGCAAGTCCCTGTCTCAATTTTTTAAAAAGTTCCCCTGCTGCTTAAGTACTTGACTTGAGAAATGAAATTTCAGATAGTTTTAAAATTTTTTCTATGAAGGTTTTAATGAAATAGTAGAAAATAAAATATAAAACAAAAGAACATTGATGATATCTTGTCTAAATATAAAGGAGACTTTGCCCATCTGTCTGCCTATTTGGGCAAAGTAAATTTTTGCAAATTCCATTCAGTTTATGAACTCTTCCCCAAAGAAAACAAAAAGATGTTAGCCATTAAATGTCCTACACACCCTGTGCTCAACCACTACCAAGGGGAGTGGGCTTAGATTCCTGGTGATACTGAGGCTTTCAGAATAAAAGCTTTTGGCTACTTTTCAGTTTCCTCAAAACATGCCAAAGCTCTTACTGAGGCAGGTGGTGGCACCACTGAGCTAAATCCTTGGCTGCTTACTGAGATTTTTGAGATTCTAAAAAAATGGAAGGAAAAGATGTGTTTCTCTATCCTTTTTTTGTTTTTCTTAGGATGGGACCCAGGCATCATGTGTGCTAGGCAAGCACTGTACCATGGAGCCGCATCCCCAGCTCCATACTGTGTCTTTTTTTTTTTTTTTTTTTTGGTACCAGGGATCAAACTCAGGTCCTTGTGCTTGTGCAGCAGGTGGTGAAACCACTGAGCTAAATCTCCGGCCCCAATACTGTATCTTTTTAACGTACTCCTGGAAGGTGGCTGTCATTGTTGCCAGGCTAAAAAGTCAGCCTGCTATCACATCTTTCTTTCCTTTTTCCTTTCTCCTTTCTTTTCCCATGCTGGAGATCACACCCAGGGTCTTGTGTGTACTACACATGCACTGTGCCACTTAGATAGCAACCCCAAAATCATATTTTCAAGGTATGGGACAAGAACAGTGTCCACTAATTTGGAAATATATTGAGAATGAAGATGGAGGAAAGGATTGCAATTTGCTAAGGTCTGAATGTATAAGAAATCATACATGTTCGGTATTTGAAGGTGGAACTGTTGGGAGGTGACTGGGCTACCTGGTTACTTGTGGAGTGGCTTTGTAAGGAAAGCAAGCCCTCTCCAGCATATTTGCTGTCTTGCCAATGACATCCTCTGCACGTTAGGATGTGGCAGGAAAGTCCACATCAGACACCAACCCCACTCTTGGACTTCCAGCCTCCTGAGCTCCGAGCTAAATAATGCTCATTCTTCATGGGTTACTGGCTCTCTGGATGTGGTGTTACCTGTAGTCCCAGCTACATAGGAGGATGCATCAGAGGGGTTGCAAGTTTGAGCTCAGCCTGGATAATTTAGCGAGATCTTGTCTCAAAATTTAAAAAAAGAAAAAAAGAAAAGAAAAGGGCTGTCTCAGTGGTAGAGCACTTGCCTATCATGCATTAGGCTCTAAGTTTGATCCCCAGTATTGCAAAAGAAATATACAAATAAACGTTACCCAGACCCCAGCATGGTCCAGCACGGCTTGGTGACCTTGGAGAAGGGCAGAGGACTGTGTAAAAGGGTGGACTGACTGTACCTGATCTGCTCCACGTTCTGTGAGGGTAACAGCAAAATCTCATAAAATGAAAACTGACTCATATTTTGGAAGCAAAACAAAACACCAGAACACAATGACTAATTTAAACAGAACCTTTTCTTCCTATAATTTATTTGCAATCCAACTTCAGTTGCATAAGTACAAATGACCTCTGCGTTTTTGTTTTGTTTTGTTTTCTAGTACTTGGGATTGAACCCAGGGTATTTGAACCAAGTTACATCCCAGCCACTTTTTCATTTCTTATTGTGAGACAGGGTCTTGCTACATCGATAAATTGCCCAGGCTGGAATCCCTCCCTTCTTTCCTCCCCTCCCTCCCTCCCTTCACTTTCAAAGTACTGAAGAATGAACCTAGGGCCTTTGCGATGAGCTAACTCACCAGCCCCTTTTTATTTTATTTATTTATTTATTTATTTATTTTTGGGTCTTGGACATAGGATCTCCCTATGTAGTTCAGGCTGGCCTGGAACTCACAGTGATCCCCCTATCTCAGCCTCCCAAGTATAGGAATTACAGGTATGTGCCAACAGGCCTGGCTTACCAGCCCTTTTTAAATTTTGAGATAGGGTTTTGCTAAATCACCAAGTTGCCCAGCTTGGGCTCAAACTCCCCATCACCTTGCCTCAGTCTCCCAGAGTGCTGGGACTGCAGGCATACCTACTATGTCCAGCTGATCTCTGCGCCTTAAAGCCAGTTTCCCTAATGGAAGAAGGAGGTTTAACCTGTGACATCCAAAGTGTTCTGAAATGTTTAAAGGTTGGACATCTTAGACATGGGTGTCCTGCATGATGAACTTACAGGTGCAAAACATGCCCATAGCATATTTTACTACAATCAGCCCTTGCACACAAATGAGTGGATATTTCTGGAGAGCTGGAGACGAATTCTTACAAACCTAAAGCCTACTCCTGCTAGTAAGTAAAATCTTGAGTATTCCATGCTCAGATGCTTTTTACTGGGAAGAAAACTAGTGAACTGCTATCACATTGGACTGATCCCAGGAATGAGTGGGATGTGGGCTTACAGGAGCAGAGCTGCGGGTGGGAGGACTTCATGCCATGGCATCAGGCTGATCCTCTCTTCTTTAAAGGGTTTCCTAAAGGCCACGGGCAAGGATGCAGGATGAAGACATGGGAAAGAATGACATTATGTTTATTAAATACTGGTAATGCTAGTTTAATCCTATTGTATTTTCATTCTCCTTTTAAAATGTCTTCTATTTATGTGTCATAATGCAAAGTTTAAGTATCTAATAATGAATTTTTAAAACTGCTGTATCAGAGGACAAGAAGAAACAGAAAACTTTTTCTCACACATATTATTTGTCCTATTAATTATTATTATTTTTCAGTGCTGGGTGACAGCCTGGTACATGCTGGCACCAGTGCTCTACCTCTACCACTGAGTTACACTATCAACCTCCTATTAATTTATATTAAATAATGCCATTTATGTAGCAGAAAAGTAAAAAAATACATGATTTCACGTAAACACCTATTTTTCATATTTTAACATATCTAATTATATATGATCTTCTACAAGTGGTATTTTATTTTCTATGTTAAAGTAATAATATACATGTGTGTAATTTCTTTAACATATATGTTGGACTTTTGTTTTTGGTCTGGTAAGGCTGGTTGTGTCGGGGGCTGGATCTCTGAAGCTGGTATCTTGAATACACGGCTCATCTTCCCTCCAAAGCGCTTAGGCAGCCCAAGACTTGGTCAGGGTTGGCCCAAGGCCCCACCCCTGCCCCGCCCCGCCTGAGTCAGTGGTGATTCAGTGCCTGCCGCCTACGTCTGGCCCTGGTCGGGAGGAACACCGACGGGGTAGTGGAGAGAGGGTGAGGAGGAGGTTGCTCATTAACCTGCCAGTCTGCGAGGGCGGTTCTGGAAATTAGGCCTGCTCTGTTATTGCTGCTGCCTCCTGAACCATGACATGCTCCCTTTCCTCAGGCGGTCTAGGTGACCCAGGTTATGGCCCAGTTTAGAGCCTACATTGTGGCTTAAGGCAATGCTTTTCCAACAACAACAAAAACAAAAACAAAACTCCCTGACCTGGCTAGCACGCACAAGGCTCTGGGTTGTTGGTGTTTAAACTGTGGTCACACATATCACACACATAGTACCTAAACATTTAATTTAAGAATATTTCAGGGACAAAAGAGATACACTGTCAGGCTAGCTTTTCCCACTGGACACCCTCCAGACGTCTCCAGTCAGCCTCAGTGCTTCCCTGGCAGTGGGTCAAGCCTGGGAATTCCTAACAGTGCTGTGGCCACTGACAATACTGTCAGAACTTTGCTGTGGAAAAGTATTTGTGGTTCTGCAGATTGTCCCCTCTGACACTGTTTAGCGGCACCCAGTCCACAGCTGCAAGACCACCTGGCAGGACTGGACATCCTCACGGCAGCTGTGGCTGTGGCCATCTGGTTCCTACACATATAGCAATGACAGTTCTTTGGGGAGAAAACACAACAGATCCCAAAGTAAACAGACAGAAGTTGGACTCTGTCTTGGAGAAGATACTAAGAAAGCCAGAGAAGAATGCAGTGCAGCAGAAATGAGAGAGCCTTTAATCTCACAGGCCTTTGGACACAACTTAGTCTCGAGTCTTGGGGATTGGGCTTCCCTGCAGGAGCTGGTGAAGCAGTTCATCTGTATGCTGGCAGCTGCCACTGTGAAACCCTCTCTCCGTGAGTGAGAAATATAAAGTGGTCTGGGTTCCCAATTTGGTCTGGCTTGTTCTAATCAGCCCTGAGAGGCTGCTGCACAAGCAGATCTGTGCCCTTTGGCTCAGTGACAGTGGGAAATTCAACCATCAGGATGGACAGAAAGCCCATGCCCCTTCTCTGCTCCACAGGAAACTCCACCAGATGCTGCTTGGGAGTTGTGTTTTTCAGGATTTTTTTTGTTTTTTTAGATTTTTTTTTTTGGCGGGGGATACCTGGGATCAAACTCAGGACCTTACACTTGTGAGGCAGACAGCAGCACCACTAAGCTAAATCCCCAGGCCTTTGTTTTGGTTTTTTGAGGCAAGGTGTTGCTGTGCAGTCCAGGCTGGTCTCAGACTCACAGTGATCCTCCTGCCTCAGCTTCTCGAATTCTGAGATTACAGATGTGTGCCACCATACCGCTCAGAATAATATTTTCTGTGTGTATGTGTGTATGTAGTAATGGGGATTGAAGCCAGGGTTACATGCCTACTAGGTAAGCTGTCTGCCACTGAGCCACGACCACCAGAGTTGTGAACACTGTTTCTTATACAACATTTATTCTCTCCATGTCCTTCCCAATAGTACCCCGAGTTTGTTCAGATACCCACCCTCCACATGTGCCGCAGGGAAGTGGACCCCTGTCCAGCCCCTTGCCTCTAGTTTCTGAGTGGGGGATATGGAATCTGACATACCAGGCATCCCATTGTTCTTGCCAATCTGTGCATGGCATCTCCTGACCCACAGATTACTTTAGGAATGGGCTTGTAATTAAATTCAGGCCGATGGGACACAAGGATAAGTCTAGAACCTGCAGATTTTTTTTAAAAAAGCTCTAGGGCCCAGGATTTAGCTCAGTGGTGCTGCTGCCTGCCTCAAAAGCACAAGGTCCTGAGTTCAATCTCTGGTACCAACAACAACAACAAAAAGCTCTTATTCTTTAAATAGAGAATCACCAGAAAAGCATCACTGTCCTCCAGTGGAGCAGGGAGATTAGGACACTGAAACTTCTGCAGCCATTTGGCCATCAGGAAGGAAGCAGCTCGAGGACAAAGACAGCCACAAAAGACCATGTGAAAAAGGGTCAAAGAGAAGTGAAACCAGGGTTGCTGGACCATGCTGCTCCTTCGGCTTGTATCTTTCCAATCACAAAGACCACAAGGGCAGCTGGTGGGGAGGGTGAGGGACACAGCATGGCCCCTGCTGGGCCCTGGGCCTCTCCCTGTCATTGTCTGTGGGCTCCTCTCATGCCCTGTGTCCAGTCCAGGGTACTATATATAATCCCACATGGGTGTTGTCTCCTTTACTTGGGCCAGTTCTTCAGTCTTTCCTGTCACTGAAGCACTGGTGAACCTTTTGAAAAATATTCCTTACTTTGGATTTGTCTCATAATTAGATAATTTGTCTCATAATTAGATGAGAGAATGCATTTGCAAGGATGCGACAGAAGTGATGCCATGTCCTTTTCCAGATGCTGGTCAGGATAGGTGAGGTTGATGGGTGTTAACTTTGGTCTTTTGGTTAGAGTGGTGTCTCCCTGGTCTCTCCACTGTACAGTCATTATTTTCCCCCTATAATAAATATCTGCTGGAAAGGTGCTTTATGACTTTTTTTGAGGGTCTCACTATGTAGTTCAGGGTGGCCTTGAACTCACTATGTAGCCCAGGCTGGCCTTGAACTCATGGCAATCCTCCTACCTCAGCCTCCCAAGTGCTGGGATAACAGACATGTGCCACCACACCTGGCCCAGGTATCCTCTTTCTCATCGTAATTTTGCCCAGTAATTTTAGCATCTGTTGATATTTTTTTTTTGGTACCAGGGATCGAACTTGGGACCTTCCGCTTTTGAGGTAGGCAGCGGAACCACTGAGCTAAATCCTGGGCTCTGTGGCGATGATTCTTGCTTGCAACAATTACTACTATGGTTTTTACCAAATGTGGATTTTCTATTTACATTACTTTCCACATTTATTCATCGGAATTCTATTTCAAAAACTGATTTCCCTGTTTATCTACTCCAGTATTTTATGTCTGTAGGGATTCTTGGATGTTTATTTATGAGTTATAGCCCACGTTATTACTTTTGCTCAGATTGCAGCACACCTGGCCCTCAGCAGCTCAGGTTGCTGTTCTGTGCCTGCTGCCAGGCCCCCCCTTCTCCCAGCCCTGCCTTGCTGTCTGGCATGAGATGCCCCAGGAACATCTGGTTCTTTCCATCCCAACCCCAGAACCAACACTTGTCTGAGAGCCCTGACTTGTTTTATTGGAGAATGGTATCGAGAAAGCAAAATCAGGGTCCAGTCAGACTTACCTTGGTTAAATGGAAATGCAGGAAGTAGGCTGGCCACAGGGCGGTGTGGGAAGGAGAGGGGCAGGGTGGGCAGCTCCGGGGATCAGTCTCCAGGCGGCAGCACGAAGGAGAAGCACAGCCTCTCAACATGGGCAGCTTAGGCCTGGAGGCAGCACCGCTCTGTTCTCCTCCTGGGGCTCTGTGGCTCCCCAAAAGGGTTTGCGCTGGGCCTGGAGCTGGCAAGAGAGGACTTTCAGGTGTGGTTTTTAAAAACATTATAAGGACCTATGTTTTAAAAAAACCGTGTACTGGAATAATAAAAAGAGGAAAGGCCTACTCTTCTATTTTTTCATTAACAATGTCCACAAGTACTGTTTCCTTTTCTCAGATGGAAGAACTGTGCGAGAAATCTCGGGTGCAGGGGCATCATGTGACATAGGGTCTCTGAGCAGGGATCAAATCAGGAAATCCTGGGGCCTCAGGGCTGGGGGCAGCAGAGATCTTGATGCGCTTTCGGCCTCTCCTGCTTGCTGTCCACAGTACAAAAAATATGTATTTTACACCATGACTTACCAGACAGATACCTATTTGACTTTCACAAAATTTCACAACTGTGTTCATTCGCTTTGTGTGACACCGTTTTTTTCCCCACCAAGGGCCGAATGTCCCACTTTCCTTTACATATGAAATGTGTTTAATACAGTCATGATGGCTACTCTATTTTTTATTCTATATACTTTATTTCTTAGTAATTTCTTTTCTTTTCTTTGGTACCGGGGATCGAACTCAGGTCCTGGTGCTTCTGCAGCAGGTGGCGGAACAATTCCTTACTAGTTTCATTTCACATACTGATGTGAAAGGATCAGGACCTTCCTGACCCTTTGAAAAACAGTCCAACTCTGTATTATATAAATGGGGAAACTGAGGTCCCAACAATGGGAGTGAATGTCCAAATCCTGCATTCACTAAATGACCTTTAAAACAATGCTACATTTTTGTTTTTAGATTTTATTGGGAAGAAATGGGTTTAAATAAGGGCTGATTTTTTTTGATTTCCTTGAAAATTTTTTTTTTTTGTGGTACTGGAGATCTAATGTGGGTCTCACACATGCCAGGCAAGTACTATACCACTGAGATACATCCTGGGCTGATTTTTTTAAAAGTTTCAAGAGCTGGATGAAAAGGTAGAGAGGGTAACAGTGTTGAATCACATTGTCTGCTCTTTTTCAGTAGCTCCAATTCCTTGAGGTGGAAGCCTTGGCCTCTTTAAAGTAGAATGAATATTTTCTCCCTCATTTGTCAATTATCCATTTATCCATTAGCTCTGCAAATACTCAAAATAGAATTAGAAAGAGGCCAGAAAGATGAAGGCCTGTGGGGCAGAGTTGGGGGTGGGGGTTGCCCTCAGGGTGTCTGCAGTCCCTTGGGGTGTCAGACACACATGCAGCCACCTCTGGGGAGGAACTCACAGTAGCAGCAGAAGTGTGCAGTGGGGCCTGTGAGGTACGGAGGAGAGTGGCTGCTGAGGGTCTGGTGTGAGCCTCCAAGCCTTCATGTGGTGAAATCCAATCCTCACTGTGAAGTGCAAAGAGTGGAAACTTCACTGACTGTGGTGTGTAGGAGTAGAGCCTCTGGGAGGTGATTAGGCTTAATCACCAAGGTGGAGCTTTCATGACTGAAGAAGGAGACCCACGGATACACACACAGTGTCCACTCCATTTCTTGTTATGTGCTGCCTGGTGCCACCAGCAAGAAGGTTATTGCCAGATGTGGCCCCTAGACCTTCAGCCAAAATCATAAGGCCAGTTAACTTCCATTCTTGTTTTTGTTGTTGTTTTGTTTTTGGTACCAGGGATCGAACTCTGGTCCTTGCGCTTGCAGGGGAGGTGGTGGAACCACTGAGCTAAATCCCCGCCCCTAACTTCCATTCTTTTACAAAGTTAGATGCCGGTGTCTCACTGTAGCAGCATGAAACAGTACATAGTGACCTTAGGAGAGTCATTTCCTGAGCCTCAGTTTCCTCGTCACAAACTGGGGCCATGAGACCCCCCTCCCCCCAGTGGCAGGAAGCTCTGGACACCCCTAGCACAGTGATGAGCCCTGTTGGAGGAGAAGGCAGGTTCGAGCCAGCCTGGTGCAGCCCGGGTCCTGGAAGAGCTTGGCACGGGGGCCTGTGATGAGCAGGAGAGGACATGCATTCTGCAGGGGATCCAAGGGTCCTCTGAGGACTCAGGGCCTGAGAGTAGGGCGATGAGAATGATAAAGAGGGTTGGAGACAAGAGGCTCCACAGAGAGGCTTTGGTTGCCACAGCAGGGAGCTGACATTCAGACTTTAGTCAGGTGTGGCTTGGTGGTGGAGGGCTATGTGTGACTCTCAGCACTGAAAAGAATACTAGCTCTGTAAGCAGTGGGGAGCCCCTGAAATACTTTGAGCAAGGGCATAACAGGGCCAGATGCCGATCCATTACACTGACTCAAACAAGATTCTTGTAGCCATAAGGAAACCAATAGTCAAAATGTGAAGCTGTGCAGTACTTGGAAGACCCTGTTGGGTGACTCAGTGAACTATAGGGAGGCTCGTGTTGTCAGTGAGAAGCCAAGAGCACAATCAGGCAAGCTGATGCAGGAAGGCAGCTAGCTGCACCTACCTGTCCGGTTTCTAGTGCCTTTCTAATGGGAACACAGGGCCTGACGTCAGAGAGGAATTTCCATCCTCCCTGTAAGGGACTGACCTGCAGAACCCCATCAGGATGAACCCAGGAACTCACAGTCCTGAACCTTTCAACTGGGCTAGGCATTTCAAGTGCAAGAGGTAAAGTGTTACTACAAAGGTGGTCCCTGTGTCTGTAATCCAGCACGATGGGAGGCTGAGGCAGGAGGATCACAAGTTCCATCCCTGCTTGGGCAACTTTGCCACTTAATGAGACCCTGTCTCAATAAACAAAGAGCTAGGGATGTAGTTCAGTACAAAAGTCCTGGGTTCAATCTCAAATACTGGAGGAAAAAAAAAAAGACAGGGCCCTGACTCATGCAGACTCGGGGTGAATTCTACTTCTTCCAAGTAATCTGGTGATTTGGGAGAAGGGAGGGCAAGTTGGATTGTGTGAACAGGTTAATAGATTAGGTCTATCAGCCCTCAATAAGGATTCATTCTAATGTCATCTCATATTCTCCTTCTATAAAAGGAATAGACAGAAGAGACCATGAAGTGACTTGCCCAAGGCTACACAGCTGGAAGGTGGCAGAACCAGGAGCCCAGCCATGCATGGTCTGCTTACCTACTATTGTCCAAGCTCCCTGTTATCTCCTGCTCAGGTGAGAAGCTGCAAGCCAGTGCTGTGCCAAGCCTTGGAATTCCACAGCCCAGAGAGCAGCTGGCGTCCACGCTGGCGTTATCATGAGTCTGCTAACCTAGGGCCAGAGGCCAGAGTGTGCAGGGATGAGTCACCCTAGCCCACTGCAGCAGGAGACCTCTTCCTCTCCCCCCCCGAGCCTGGTTGCTGAGCAGTGAGACATAACATATATAAATAAAATACAATTTCTTGCCGTAACAAGGAGGCCTGCTGTCTTGCTTGCTCTCTGCCCTTCAGCCCTCCCCTCAGCTCCTAGAGCACTCTGTTTGATGCTGGGCTAAGAGCTTCCAGACCTGCCTTCCAACGGACACCCGACGGTGGAATGCTGGGGGTGGGTGCAGGGCTGGGTGGCGCTGAGCTTGCACGGGGTGGTGCCGGAGGAGGTGGGGCAGCAGACAGCAGATGGGCTGGACTTTTACCAGGCGGGGTGCGGGGTTGCAGGGGGAGGGAGCTAGGTGTGGTTGCCAGCCCCTGAATCCGGAGGGTGGACCTGGGCTCCAACCGGAAGCATACGGCGTGGGCGGGGCTTCTGCTGCCCTCGAAACCAGAGGATAGGGACGGCCTCTTCTGGAACTTGAACTCCTCTTGTTCCACTTCGCATTCCCTGGTTACTCACTTTAGGTGTGGAACACCTGGAAGTGTGGCTCCCCTGGGTGGGCCCCCTGCATGCACAGTCGCCACGCACAAGGTCATGGCTATTACCTAGGACGCCTCTCAGGGCAGGCACTGGATTTGGGAGAGAAAAAGATACATATAATCTCCCAGCAATCCTCGCCATGATGAGTTTTGACAATAGTTTTTTTTGTTTGTTTGTTTGTTTTTTGCCCTTGACAAAAGTATAGTCTTGTAACAACCATAAGCTTCAGGACACAGAACGTTCCAGTCACCCCAGGAAGTTACCTTTACAGACAATTCTCCACCTAGCCCCTGGCTACAGGTTTTGCTTTAATTGTAATTTCATATAAATAGTATCATATGCAATCATTTGCCTAGCTTCTTTGGCTTAGCACAATGCTTTACAGATTCACTCGTGTTATCACTGGTTTGTTGTGTTCTTTGCTAACCAGTTCATAAACATTTGAATTGTTTGGGGCTATTATGAAAAGGGGCTAGAAACATACACTGTAAAATGTGGTTGTAGCTTTTCATTTGGAAATCCCTAACAGTGAAAATGCCAGTTCAGTAACTGGGTTTTATGGCTGAAGCTCAGAGAGGTTAAGCAGCTTGCCCGAGGACACAGAACTTGGCAGAAATTCAAAGCCATGTCAGACCAGAAGATCACCACATGAAATTGGTATTTTTAGAGTTGAAGTTACTTCTTTGGTAATTCTAGTTACTACAGATGGGCTGAAGTGAGGTTTGTAACTTGCATACATATACTGACAATGAGCATAAGCTGCTGAGCAGAGAATAAATATGTCAGTAACTCTGAGGCATTTTAGCAAGTGACTTCTGGAGGCATAAGGTCGTGTCTGCAGGGTTTTGTTCTGCAAAGGTGGCATTTGGCAGGCTTCTCTATTGTAAAGCTATTATTTTTCCTTTGCAGTTACTTAAGAGGAGCATCTTGGAGAGTAAGAATCCTCTGCTTTTCATCAAACTTTCACCCCCTGGTTGGAATGTCCACTGTGAGCTTCCTAACTTCATTCCTTTTAGATCTGCCAGTAATATTCTTCTCTTAGGGAGAATGTCTTAGTTCATTTTCTGTTGCTATGACAAAATACTGGAGACTGAGTACTTTGTGAACAATACAAGCTTATTTGGCTCATGGTTTTGGAGGCTGGGAAGTCTGAGAGCATGTACTGGCATCTGCTCAGCTGCTAATGAGGTCCTTCTTCCTCTACTGTAACATGGCAGAGGATGTCACATGGTGAGACAGAGCCACTGTGTTGGTGCAGGTCTCTCTTTCACAAGTCTCTCTTAAGCTACTAATGCCATCATGAAGGCTCCACCCTCAGACCTTGTAAACCGTAATTACTCCCCAAAGGCCCCACCTTTGGGTACCACCACTGTAGGGACACATTCAAACCACAGTGAGAATGTTCCATTTTTTTTACTTGTGATTATCAGAATTTCCTCATGGATTGTTTTATTCTTTGGATATAATCCATTATCATTGTTTTAATGTGAGTCCTGAATTTGACTGGAAGCAGTCCTATGAAGTTAGTTCCTATGTCTTTCTAACATGGCCCTCCCCTCCCCACATTATGGGGCATTTCCTTCCTCTCAGGTTCTCAGGTATAAGAGGTTCCAATATCTCATCCTTTCCTGCACCAGCCCTGGTCCCTGTTAGTGGACAATGGCAATCAGAAACCAAGATCAGGGTGCCAGATGAACTTGTTGGGATGTCATAGCTTCCAGGCTGCCTCAGGCAACAGGTTTTTAAGGCAGCAGGTAAAGGAAAGGGCAGGGCCATGGGACTGGACTTGTAATCTGTGGACTCAGCACAATCAGGCTGGTGACAGTAGGGAATCTGCAATAAGAACACTAAGGTCAGCCATGGTGTCATGGGTAGTAAACAGTGGAATTTAATCTCTGTGAATTTCACAAATTTATAAATCTCCTGAGAGCAATATCTTTTTCTTTTTAAAGACAGGGTCTCACTACATAGTTCAGGCTAGCCTTGAACTCACCATGTAACCCAGGCTGGCCTAGAACTAATGGCGATCCTCCTGACTCAGCCTTATAAGTGCTGGGATTACAGGTATGTGCCACCAGGCCTGGGATTAGGAATAACATCTTTCGGCTTTTTCTGCCTTGGTATGAGTTACTTCCATGACAGAAGACTTGAGTGGCTGGTTCTCAAGTGTGTGTGGGGAGCAGGGGCAGGGCAGGAAGGCATGGATAGGAAGGGTGGTCTTGGGGCTCCATACAGTGAAACTGTGTCTCCTGTGGACTGCAGATTTCTCCTGGGACAGACCCTCTGCTGTCCTTAAGGCTAACTGGTCAGGTGTTTGTGAGAGAGCCAATGCCCAGAATGAAACCCTGTAATGAGAGGAGGTGACTCATAGTACGGGGCCACACTGCCAGAGCCCATCTCCCTGGGAAGAACTGTGCCTTTGGGGTGTGTCTGGTCCCTTCCATTCTCAAGGGTCTGCTAGGGTGCAGAGAGTGTGAGGCTTTCTCTGGACAGCAGGTGGGGACAAGTGCTATCTGTCCCCACTGGTTTCCACTACAAGCCCTGGGACAGTATGACTTTTTCTGCCCTCCACTGGCCCGGCAGGTTCTTGAAACTTTAGTGCTCTTTAGACTGGCCTGGAGGCAGCAGGCAGATGTGTGAGGTACAGGGAGCCCCGATGTCTGAGAGTGCTCTGAGCAGCTTGGATAGTCAGGGGGCTCAGGATGGTCGGTGGCACCACTGCCTCTCAAGACAGACTCTGTCTTGCTCAGCTTCAGCCAGGTTGGGTGATGAAGAACCAGCACCATCCATTGTGACTTGACTTGCATGAACTCATTCTGGAAAGTGCCGTATCATTCTGGGTATGAAGAACTGTAAGGAGGAAGATGACTCTTTTCTTTTGATGCAAACCTCCATGATGGGGTACCAAGAGGGCCTAGGGTCCTGGAAACCAATCCAGAGAGGAGACAAGGAGGGTATGGAGTGAAGGAGGCCAGTGATTTCAAGAATGGCAAGGATGACTTTGTAGGCAGAGTCCAGGTACTGGAAGTGGCACCCTGGGGCACTGGGAAATCAAGGAGGGAACCTCAAATGAAGGAGAGAGGGTTCAACTCAAGGCACAACTCAAGGGAGGATCTAAGAGTCTTGAGGTCTCATCTGGTGTCTGGCTGCTGCATAGTGTCCCTGGGGCTGGATGACAGCCATCTGACTTTTCTCTGGCACTTTTTCTCATACGTAAAAATGAGAATAATGCTTCTGTTGACCTACTTCTCAGGATAAATTTATAAAAAAATAACTACCAAAATACTAGAAATTAAACAGGGTGGGGGAGAAGCAGAGAAAAGGAAAAAAGTTGAACAAGAAGAGAATAAAAAGATTATATAAACAGGATAAATAAATAATCCCCACTTTGCTGCAAAGACACACAAACCGGAAGGAAGAGCAGATCACTAGCCCTTCAGGAGGAGGTAGTGGCGAAGAGCATGAGGAAGCCCCAGGCCAACAGCCAACTTCTAAAAGGCTTATTACTGTTAATGGTTTGATCTTTTAAAAGCTTGTTTTTTACTTTCAAGGCTTAGAATGCACTAATTCAAATATACTAACTCAGATAATTCACTTGATTTAAGAACCTTGGGTCCTTTTCTAAATAGTTCTCCCCCACTAGTAGTCCATAATATTCCTTTGGACTGTATCAAGAAAGCTAGCAAAATTAGGTAACACTGTGACAAGGGCTGAGGGGATAATGAAGGGACTTATTCCAAGGCAAGAGTAAGTTTCACTTCTCAGATTTAAGCCCGAATCAGCCTGTCTCTTTTGGCCTCAAACACTAAGGGCAAAAAGAAATCTCTCTCTGCTGTGGCTTCCAGAAGCCCACTTGCACTAGAGATAATTGTAATAGATTACTGTAGACCACTAAGACAGTACAGCATATGCCTACAAGGTGTCCTTCTTCCCCATGAGCCTCCCACGGCAGACATCACTAGGGCAAAGTGCCCAGCCAAGGGTGACCCCATCATGGGAATCCTGACTCCTGCAGAGCACAGCATATGACTCAGCTCTAGCCAATGGGATGCTATTTAGAGTAGGTTCAACTACTAATGAGAAGTACTTCTCTTGTGTGAATATACAGAGTTCTATAGCCTAGTCTGGGAAGAAATTCTTCTCCCAGTCACACTATTTCTCTGCATGGCCCCTTGTCCCTACTTACTTAGCCAGGAGGTATCCCGGCATGGAGGAAGGATGGAGATGAGGATAAAGCAGTGGACTCTAAAGCAGGACACTTCCATGAATTTCCCTTTGGCCAATACTTAAGTCACCTAGCCATATTTTGGTACAAGAGAGGCAAGGGAATGAATTCTTCATTATGGAGGGCCTATGTGCTCAGCTAAAATCCGACTACAATGGAAAAAGAATTAATTTGGGGTCACGATTAGTAGACACTGTTCCAAGAACTACCCAAGGCAACTTTGCTGGAAAAGCAGAAAAGGGGCAATTTGCTGGGGGTGGGGTGGGTGGTGGCTCTTGGGAAGGATGCCTAGCCTCAGGTCTTGGTTTCTAATTCCCTTCTCCAATTAAAGGAACCAGGGCCCCTAAGAGAAATGGCTGAGCCTAAGATAGGGCAGAAAATAGTCAAGATGAGCTGGGAGCAGTGTCAGAGAGTACAAAAATGCTCAAAAGTAGGACAATTAGAAACAATGGAGCTGAGGAAGTCATTCCTTCCATCCATTTAATTTTAAATAGCAACCTATAGCCATTCCTACTTCCAGTCTTAAGAGAGGTAGAAAATAAAATAAAAACCAATGAGATCTCTGATGTTCTAGGTAAGTGTATGCATCTTAGATCTCCTAACCTGACCTTCAGTCACCTTCACCCTACTCAAACCTCATTATAGGTTCATAAATATGTACTACATGTCATACATTAAGATCAAAGTAAATTCTGGGGATAAGCATGCATATTGAGAGCCCTTGCGATATCACAGGGGACCCTTTCAATCATTCCTGTTAATCACACCTAGAGATTCAAGGGGAGGGACCTGGGCTGAGATGCATGTCCTTTAAATTCTTAAAGCCTAATATATTGGGGGCTG